TTTAATTTATATTTCTCTAATCAAAAGTGATTTAGAGCACTTCTTTGTATGCCTACAGATAGCTTTGATTTCTTCATCTGAAAACTGCCTGTTCATAGCCTTTGACCATTTATCAATTAGGGAATGACTTGTATTCTTATAAATTTGACTCAGTTCTCTATATATTTTAGAAACGAGGCCTTTATTAGAGACACTTGCTGTAAAGATTGTTTCTCAGCTTCCTGCTTTCCTTCTAACCCTGGGTGCATTGGGTTTTGTTAGTGCAAAAGCCTTTTAATTTAATATAATAAAAATTATATATTTTACATTTTGTAATGCTCTCTATCTCTCGTTTGGCCACGAACCTATAACTCACTTAACTTCTCTTTTAAGAATTTAAATGCTATTCCATTTGATGCATATATGCTTAGTATTGATATTACTTCATTGTCTATGGTACCTTTTAGCAAGATGTAGTTTCCTTTCTTATCTCTTTTAATTAGGTCTGTTTTTGCTTTTGCTTTGTCTGAGATCAGGATTGCTATCCCTGCTTTTTTTTTTTCATTTCAGCTGAAGCATAATAGATTCTGCTCTAGTCCCTTATCTTTACTCTGTGTGTATCTCTTTGCTTCAAGTGTATTTCTTTCTTTCTTTCTTTTTTTCTTTTTAGGCAATTGGGGTTAAGTGACTTGCCCAGGTTCACACAACTAGTAAGTGTCAAGTGTTTGGTCTGAGGCAAGATTTGAACTCAGGTCCTCCTGACTTCAGGGCCGGTAGTCTACATCTTGCTAAAAGGTACCATAGACAATGAAGTAATATCAATACTAAGCAGGGTTAGAAGGAAAGCACTTACTAGCTGTGTGACCCTAAGCAAGTAACTTAACCCCGACTGCCTCACTAAAAGGCAAAAAAAAAAAAAACCAAAAAAAACCATCAGTAAAAACAAGAGGGTTGTTCACCATCTGCACACCGCTTATGAACATGCAAAGCACAGCCTCTCATATAGTATCCAGGACAGTAATGAGATTGACTCCCTCTATGAAGGTATCGACTTCTATACATCAATCACCCAAGCCTGTTTTGAAGAGCTGAATGCTAATCTCTTCCATGGCATGCTGGACCCTGTGGAAAAGGCCTTAAGACATGCCAAGCTAGAAAAATCACAGATTCATGACATCATCCTGGTGAGTGGTTCAACTTACATTCCCAAAAAGTGTTTACAATCTAATTAGCAGGCATAAATGATGCAGATAATATACAAAAGGGGTAGGCACTATGAGGGACATCACCATAGTTGGAAGGCTCAGTTAAATTAGGTGTGAACAGTTAGGGAAACTTGCTCAGCCAACTATCATAGAAGAGTATTATTTCCTTCCTTTATTTGTGAGTAAGCAAAAGAATGTGAGAGTGTCTTGATTAGTAAGAGGTAGCACACGGTCTGGGATCAAATCCCAGTTCTGATACTTATTACCTTTGTAAACTTGAATGAAGGGTAAGTCAACTCAGCCTCTCTGGGCCTCAGTTCCTCATCTGTAGAATGAGCGGGTTGGGCTACATGGTGCCCCTTTCAGCTTTAGATTTCTGATTCTATGTGAACCTTTTTGGGTCTCAGTTCTTCAAGAAAAATTGTGGGGGTTGGCCATGACACCTTTTCCAGCTTTTAAGGTCCTTTCCAGCTTTTAAGACTATGATTCTAGTTAGTTTAAAACTCCCATGTCCACTATTAAAAAGCTGTAGGTCTTAGCTCCAAGTTGTCAGGCTCTCATTGTTCTATGGGCTGTGGTCTTCTTTAACACACAGGCCTTTATGTCCCTAGGTTAGAAGGTAATTTAATTGTTTGGTAGAAAAAGCCCTAAACTTTGAAGTTGGAGACCTACATCCTAGTTTCAGCTCTGCTACTAGCTGTAAAACTATAAGCAACTTTTACTGATATCACTTTCCTCATCTGGTAATATGACAGGGTTAGACTAAATGGTCTTTTAAGTTCTGTTCAGTTCTAAATTTGATAATCTGGTTTAAAAATCTGTTAGGTCTGTGTCCTGAATGATGAACTCAAATACAATTGCAGTAAGTCACACTTTTACATATTTATTATTATAAGCTTTTCTATTAAATATGCAGATTTATGCAACAATATATTATTATTGTGAACCCAAGACGGTAGAGCTGCTGGCTTTTAAGTTTTTATTATATAGCTCTGTGTTTTATTTAAATATTGTTTATACTTAGTATCCAACAAGATGATGCCCTAGCAGTCAGATGCTATTTATTTAGAACTGGGGGAAGGGAGGAAAGTATATACCAAATATACTAAGTACCAATCTGTTTTGGACTTATATCAATTGTAATAATGATGTTTTGAGACTACTCTCTTACATCTCCTTCTGAACGTCATGATAGCTGGAATCAGCCAGGATACTCAGCTAAAGAAACTTTATTTTTTTTTAAACATGAACACAGAGTGATATAAGTACCATAAGCTATCTTGAAAAGGGCATATATAAAGGTCAACAGAATTCTCTCCCCCCAACTGATAAGGACTTTAGTTCTGTTAAACATACTGTAACATTTTTCTGTCACAGAATGTGAAATGAGAATATGTTGTATATAGCTGCGTTTGCAATGTAGTTGCCCTATACTTTTGGCACATTTGCTTTTAAGTGCCATTTGCAAAAATAGTGACAATCTAAATCATTAAAGTTTAAAAGTGCCCCATGACTTTGAAAACCTTGTATGATCCATTCCAAAGTATAATTTAAATGACTTTTTGGATTGTCTACTGCTTTGAATTATCCACATGACTGCTTTCCTTCATTGGCACAGATAATTGGGAGATTACTATTTTATTTTACTTGCCCTGAATACTGAATTTCAGTACAATTACAGCAGAACCAAGTGACTTCTTTTATATCCTAGCAGAAGATAACTCCTCATGATCTCAATATACATATTTATGCAAACACTGTATATACAGTGGCTTTTTAACCTTTGAACCAGATTGTAACAGAGCTTATAGTTGTCAACTTTTTTTTTTAAGAAATTATTTTTTGGCTATTTTATAGGTTATTTTAACTTAACAGGTACTTAATACACATATAATATTGTGAAACCTTTTAAAAATTTGTTATCAACTTACTTTCTACAGTTATCTTTTGTACAAATGTCAAATGACTAACATACAAATGTATTGGACTTCAAAATTCAAGTCTTTGCTCATCATTGGTTTAAGTAGAGCTTTCCTAAAGCTCTGCAAATATCCAACATTGAATAGGAAATATGAGTAAGTATTGATGGCAGAAAGCAGTTATGAACTAGAAATCTATCTACTGACCAGGAATTCTTAAGCATTTTTTGTGTGATGGACCTCTCCGGCAGTCTGGTGAAGTCTATAAGTACATCTCAGAATAATGTTAAATTAATAAAACAAATATAGAAATCTATCTATTTATCAAGTTCCTAGACCCCAGGTTAAGTAGACTCTAACACATGTCCAGTATTAGATCTAGGTAGTAAGGAGATTTCAGAATAAGACATCAATAAAGACTTTATTATTTTAGAAGATTCAGCATGGTATTGGAGAAAGAGAGAGTTGTGGACTCAGAGTAAGGAAGATATGACTTCAAATCCTGCATCAGATGTCAGCTGCATCATCCTGGAAAAGTCAGGCCTCCAAATGCTTTTCTGCCTCACAATAACATTTTATCTCTTTGGGATGAGTGAATTAGCCATGATCTTCTATTTTAAGAGGTGTGACCTACTTAAAAAAATTTAACTAAAACCCCTAATATGTGAAAATCAGAGACAGAGACAGAGACAGAGGGGTTGATAAATTACAGGTTGATTGCATTAGAAAAAGATTTTCTGGGCATTTGTGTTGTACAGATTATTAACTAATTGATAAGAACCTGGGGGCCAGAGAAATTGTGTTTGCAGCACTTCCAAGTGGAGATCAATCAAAATGAAGATTAAGCATCTTGAAAAGTACAATGTAAGTCATTGAGGAAATATAATTGGGTAATAAAATTCAATTTGCACAAAAAAAAAGAAAAAAAAGAACTCCTGCTATATAGGATCACAGATCTGGAGTGGGAAGGTCCCCTCTGGAGTCAGCTAATTAATCTCCTCTCACTACAGAGGAGGAAACCTAGATTTAGTGAAGGTTAAGTAATTTATCCAAGATAGCAAAGTGTTTTGAACCAAGGTCCATTGCTCTTTCCAGTGAACTATATCGCTTGGCTTGTCTTCTTTAAACTACTATGGCTAAAAGTTAATTACTTGTTTAGTACTGGGGGAAAATAGTGGAGTATTTGGATAGTAAGGCAAGGGCTTGTCTTAAAAACAACATACGAGCAAATTCTGACTAGACTAGATTCTGTTTGAGAGGCACTGGGAATACCCACGAGAAACCTGAAAACGGATATCGTCAATGTGGTCAAGGGTAACCCTTGCTTCCCACTACCAAGGAGCATTATTTTTATTTTTTCTTCAGGAGGTCTGCGGGTAAGTGTTGGGACCCATGATTTCCGTCCGGTGGGGAACTCCAAGTATGGCAGCTCCCTCTACCGAGGCAGACGGACTGAATTAGAAGGCAAAAAGAGTTTTCGCATCAGCCTGCAACTTTTCGAAATTTAAACGCTCACCATTTCATATGTGTGTTTAAAATTTAAAAGCACAAATCAAAATTTTAAAATAAATCAAAGGCAGCACCCCACCCCTTGTATTTATTTACATTTTTCAGCAGAGGTTCTTAACTTGGGGTGCATGAACACTAAAAAAAACCATTTTTTTGGGGAGGATAACTTTCGTTGTAACTGGTTTCCTTTGTAATCCTATGGATTGTATTTTATGCACTTTTAACGACATGATTCGTAGAGAGGACTCAACCAGATTGGCACAGAGCTCCGTCCCTCCGTCCCCCCCGTCCCCATCGCCCATCCTCGTCCCGCCATCCCCTCCTCCTGGGGGCCGCCCAGGCTGGCTCGGCCCCGCGGCCCCCCGACCACCTGAAGCGCTCCTGTCACCTGGATGCCAGGCTTCTGCAGGCTCTGCACGATGTAGTCCAGGCGGCGGCCCACACTGTTCTTGGCCTCGGCCGCCGAGTTTTTGGTGCTGCTGACCTTCACCGTAACTAGTGCCCGGTCCGGGCCACACGACATCTCCGCCGAGCCGCTCACGTGCACCTCGCGGGCCGGATTCTGGGCCGATGGCGGTGCCGAGGGCGCGCACAGGGGCAAGTGGCTGCGGAGGTTCGGCAGCGTCTCCCCGGCGGCGCCGCAGAAGCCATCCCGGCCCCTCTCGCTTAGCGGCGCCAGCTCGGCGAACACCCGGGACAGGGCAGCCGGTGGCCAAGGCATGGAAGCCGACCTCAAGTCCCCATGGCAACCGCGGCCTACGGTGTCTTGGGAGGGAAAAGGGGAGGCGACCGGCCGCCGGCGCTAGTCCCCGAGCTTTCGCTGTCGCGCAGGGAATTATGGGAAACCCTTTCTCTCTTCTGCGGGGCCAGCCCTGGCGAGCGCTTCCCGTGGCGTTTTCGCTGCATCTCGGGCAGCTGCAGGCGGGGGAGGGAGTGAGGGGAACCCCGCGGACACGTTCCGCGTCGTCTTCTATCCGTCGACCCTAGTGGGCCCCCTCCGGGGGAGCCTTTTCCGTGGGGTGCAGGCGCCAACCCGTTGTGATGGCTCTGGGCGCTTGTCTGTAGTGCAGTGGGCAGCGCGGGGCTTGGAGGACCCGTGCCATTTCACGGCTTTACCGCTCTCTGTGCTCTTGCTTCCTTATTTTTATCTTAGAAAATGGGTTGGATTAGATGACCCCTGAGGTCCCTTCCAGACAGGAGTATGTTAGTAAATGTTTAGCATTCAGGACACACATTTTAAAATTTAAGTTGTGTTATTAACACTTTCCTAAGTAGACAGTGGGAGCCTGGAAAGCCTGGTTAGAGTTGTTTCCTGCACACCCCTGCTTCCATCTCTCTGTGATCCTATGAACCCTTCTACTTGAACTATTGCAATAATCTCCTCACTGATCTCTCTGTATCTAATCTCTTCTCCAATGCATCCTTCATAGACCTGCAAAAATGATAAAGGGACTGGGCCTAATGGGTCACTCCCTTATTCAAGGAGCTTCAGTGGCAGCCTAGTACCTCTAGGATAAAATACAAACAACCTTTGACGTGTAAAGCCCTTCATATGCTGGTTCTGATCTGTTTTTCCAGACTGATTTTTACATCTTTTCCCTATTCCAACCAAACTAGGCTAATTGCTGCTCCCCATTACATACATCCTATCCCTGACTCACTTATCCCTTAGCCAGGAATGTTTTCTCTCTTCACTTCTGACTTTTGGAATCTATACTTCACTTCAAGGGTTAGCTCAAGTGCCATCTCTTACAAGAGGCCTTTCCTTATTCAGTTGTTAGTGTCCCACTCCCCAAATTTACTACATTTTTATTTTGTGTACTTATTTCCCCCTCTCAAAAAGTTGCTACAAAAGCTTTACATACATCATCTCATTTAAACCATACAACATTCTTTCATTTAAACCTTATAACAACTCTTTCAGGTGGATAATATAGGAATTTCCATTTTTCAGTTGAGGAAACCTAGGCTTTGAGAAATTAAGTGACTTATGCATGGTAACATAGCTAGTGACTGGGGTAGGATTTGAACTGTGGCCAAGTATGGAACTCTATCCACTATTTTATGCTGACCCATGTAATATAAACTCTACGAAGGCAGGGATTTTATATCTCTCTACTACTCAGGGTCTACTACAGTGCCTGACACATAGTGGGTACTTTAGATGTTTGATACCTTAAATTGTATTGAGTTGGTGGCAGAACTTGGAAGCCAGATTAGGAGTTGGTAGTTCACTAACATTTATATTTCTTAGACCATATTTAAAGAACTTGAATAATGCCTAAAAGTCCCATATTATTCCCTCTGACATATATATGTATTAATCAACTAATAAGCATTTACTAAGTGACAACTATAGTGCTAGTTATACAAAGAAAACAATAAAGAATCTTTCATTGTCTCTGTCAGTATCTGATCAACCTATAGATTCAGAACTTTAATTTGTTATGAATTCATAGTTTTAAATAAGTGTCAACCCTGGTCATAAATGACCGAAGAGTCACAGAGTTTATGCAACCGCTGGTAACTCCAAAAATACCAAATTGCTCACACAGGTTATCACAACCATAGTTAACTCTGAAATAACAAAATAAAATTGAAGAGCTAATAGTGGTCATAAGCAAAAAGCTTTCTTTATTCCATTGGAGGAGGAAAACTAGACACATGTACTGGGGCTCTCTCTAATAGGGGACCCACTTTAATGTGGGCAAATCTCAATACATATACTATTGGCTACACAGTGAACTGTAGCCCTAACAATGAGGGGTAACAGCAACAATGAGACAAGTTTGATTCATAGCAGGGCTTTGTGACTGGAACATGGATACTGAAGGGACTTGTATGAGGTCATAGAACACCTGGTGCTGGTGTGAAACAATTCTGGGATTTTTCTGTGGCTGAATTCGTCCAGAGAGTGAGCACAAAGGATTGTTGTTATGCCAAGCTCAGGGCACAACTTTCTTGCTGGGCCATAGGTCTGGAAAATAGGGTGTGTCCTAATAGAGGAGTAAAAAGAGAGGGGTGGTCTTGGCATGGGGATCCTGACATTAGTATAATCAAAATTCAAAAGAACCCAATATAAACTCCTCCTACCATGATCACTCCCTTCCAGGTCAGTCTTTAATGAACTGTTTTCTGAGTATACTTGTGGCTAATAAAGAGAAATGGGGGAAGGATTTTCTTCCTCCCTACCTCAGGCTTATGGTTTAAAGGAAAGTGGGGAACACAAAAAGACTGGTTGGATGATTCTAGCCCTTCTTTGATCCTCATTCCAAGTATGTCAGACATACAGTGCAAAGGTATGAAATGGGTGATGGAGTGTTATATTGGAAGAAGTGAGAAAAGTCCAGTTTAGGTCAATCATAGAGTGTGGGAGGAAAATAATGTCTACTGAGGCTGGAAATACAGTTTGGGGCCAGGTTTTGAAGGGCTCTTGTTCATAGTGCAGTAGTCTACACACCTTTCTGTATTCTCATTCTTCTTTCACACCACTACTAGAGATGATGTGTAATAGACTACTAGATTCTGTGATGATATCGCTGATAAACAGTTGTTTTTTTGAAACCTTCCAGTCCAGACAGAAAATTTTTCCTAGATCTCTCTTGAAAAGGTCAGAAATCAGCAAGATGGATTTCATTTGGTTGCTCCTTTGGTACATCTCATTGCAATGAGAATACACTTATTCTTTTCTCCTTCCCCCTCCCACTGCCCTCCCCTGCAATGTACTTCTCCTTTAGCTGATCTTTCTATTTTTCAAGGCCTAGAGAGTAATTAAAGTGAAATTCCTCTGGTTCCCCTTCTGAGATGGAGAAACAGTTCCCTGCTGACATTTACTGCCACCATTTGCTTTTATCCTCCTGTAAGCTTCTGTACAAGATTCATGGGTAATCATGGTGTTCAGGTATCAAGTCCCAGATCATTGCTTGGAATATTCTGCCATTCCTCAAATAGATTGGAGTTTACTCTAATAAATGCCAACAAACATCTCTCCTAGTTATCCCAGAGGCATGGTTCTTAATTTTCTTCTTGAATGTATGTAGTACATGGGTGGTTATCTAGTCCACATTTATAGGTGAAGATAACTCTCTTTTGGTTGTATTCTGCTGGTGGTCTTCTTGCATCAGTAAGCTGTGACTTCTGGCCCTGTCTTTCTAAATGGATTAATTTTGTGTATGATTCTTTTTGTCAGCAAATTTTCTGTAAGACTTTGTGTCTGGGAGATATAATGGTAAATTCCTGCTTTACTTCTATGAATCATGGTCTTGACTTTGTCTTCTCACTGGACTTGAGTGACTCTGGAGGAGAGAGTGAGGCTGGTAACTTTGCACAACTCTGTTTCACTTAAATCCAATTCACACGAAAGTCAAGTCACTCTTGGAATGTTGTTGGTCTGCTTCAAGGATGAAGGATGAACAACAACAACTATGGCCCATATCCAAGACAATGTTCTGGAACTGTTAAAGTTGGATTTTCCTGTTGTAAATCACATTATCCAGATCTTGTCCATTCCGCAAATAGTTTTGCCCTTTCTAGCAAATGTTCATAATCTGCCTATTTATTTTTTCTCTCAGTAGCAATTAGTTTTTATGTTAGCTCCCTGTGGCATTGCAAACTTTTGCTCACTTGTGCCATCCTGATCTAGTCTACTTCCTTAGATTTCAATCCTTTTAAGGACCAGGTCTGTCAATTGATGCCAAAATTTGCTTGGTTCTTCAAGGTATTTTAAAATTTGGGTTCTTTAGGTGTTAATTTCTCTCTATAGTAGACTGTCCACATGTATGACAAAATCAGGGCTTTTCCCTTTGGGGCCAAAAAATATTGAGAAACTTATTATACTTGCTTTGCATTTTAGCCATCCAAAATTTTACTGTCTCATTTTTGCAAGCACTCCTGCTAAATTTTTTTTTTCTTCAGGATTTGCAATCTTTAGATTCCTTATAAATGCAGCATTTGTTGCATTAATGCTGTCCAGCAGGTTACTCTTTTAAAAAGTTTCTTTTCAGATGCTTGCCAGTGCTATAGTAATTCAGTTGAATGACAGACCCAAATTTCCAGTAATTCTTCCCTAGGGGTACTAGGTTCTTTTCTGTTAGGATTCCTAACTTAGGCCTATGATTTTTGTCTCAAGAGATCCTCACCATGCCAGATCATGTAGTATCTTTTTCAAACTTAAGCATTTTATTTCATTCACTGGCAAACTCTCTCTGCTTCTTATTGTTTCAGATTGACTAAATAAATACTCCTATTTAGGGAGTGTTTGTGATCAGTTTCTAGTACTGTTCCTAGCTGTTATGTTAGGAATTTTTAAATGATCAGCTATTTCTGGCACCATAGAGTGTGGTCTTTCTTATAGTAATTGTTGCTGATCACTTCATATTTCCCTAAATCTCATAAGTCTTTTTTCAATTTGGAAAAATAGGCAAAGAAGAAATCCTACCAAGTTCCTTTTATGACACAATTATGGTGCTGATATACCAGGAGAAGCAGAAACAGAGAAAGAAAACTACTGAACAATTCCCCTGATGAATATTGATACAAAAATTTAAATAAAGGCCTAGCAAGGAGATTACAGTGATATATCACAAAGATTATACATTATCATCAGGTGGGCTTTATACCAAGATTGCAGAGCTGGCTTAATATTAGAAAAACCATCAGCATAAATGACCATAACAATAACAAAAACCAAGAAAAACCATACTATTATCTCAATAGATAAATGCTTTTGACAAAATACAATACTCATTCCTATTAAAAACACTAGAAAGAATAGGAATCATTGAAACTTTCCTTAAAATGGTAAGTAGCATCTATGTAAAACCATCAGCAAGCATTATCTGTCGTGGGGACAAGTTAGCAGCCTTCCCAGTAAGTTCAGGGGTGAAGTAAGAATGCCCATTATCCCTTCTATTATTCAATATTATACTAGAAATGCTACCTATAGCAATAATAAAAGAAAAATGAATTGAAGGAATTAGAATAGGCAATGAGGAAACAAAACTCTCACTTTGCAGGTATGGTAGTATGTTTAGAGAAACCTAGAGAATCAACTAAAAAAGTAGCTAACATAATTAACAGCTTCAGCAAAGTTATAGGATAGAAA